CAGCGCCACCTGGTGGCGGCCGGCGTGTGGGGGGCCCGTTCCGGCCCGACGCCGACGCCCTGCCCCTGCCCGCGGTCGTCCCCACGGTCACCCTGGCGACGCCGGCGCCGCCGCTCGACGTCGTCGAAGCAGAGGAGGTCAAGTTCGGCAAACGCCTGGTAATTAACTAAGCGCCCCTCCACTGGGTGTTGCAGCTCAGCTCGGTACGATTCTCCGTCTCCTCATGGCTTCAGATAATCATCACTGCGGGGGCCTTGGTTGGCTGCAGTTGCAGGCACAGCAGGACGACGTCCCGCCGCCGTCGTCGGATAGCGTCGGCCACGACGACGACGCCAGGCCAAGAGACAAGGTGAGACGGTCCGACTGATGCACGATGACCCAGCTTTATTATCCGCAGGGAAAAGAATTCCTCGCCCGCTGATCTTCGCCCTCGCTCTGCTTTGCCTAGATTCAGAGACGGCTCGCGCAGAACAGAGAGGCAGCTCGGAAGAGCCGGCTACGGAAGAAGGTCAGCGTCTCAGCCAAGAGCGATCACTCGTCGCGTGCCAAGCAAATCTTCTTGCTTTTGTTCCTTCCAATTGTTACGTTATTCTCTGCGTCGAATCATCAGTCGAATCAGCTCATCACTGATGATTGCTGCTTTTGTTGCATCCATTGATACGACACGCACAGGCGTACATCCAGAATCTCGAGACGAGCCGTATGAAGCTGGCGCAGCTGGAGCAGGAGCTCACCATGGCCAGGCGCCAGCAGGTAGGGAATAATCCATGAGAGGGCATCGATCCGATAGATCGCCACGCCGATGGGACGGCTAACCGCAGCTGCCATTGCTGATGAACTCTGCTGCTGCAGCACGGCGCGTACGGCGTGGGAGGAGGAGGAGTCGCGCCGGCGGAGCCGGCGCCGGCGCCCGTGGACCCGCGCGTGGCCGCGTTCGAGCTGGAGTACGCGCACTGGGTGGAGGAGCAGACCAGGCAGGCGACGGAGCTGCGTGCGGCGCTGCAGTCGCACGCGCCGGACGTGCAGCTGCGCGTGCTCGTCGACGCGGGGCTGGCGCACTACGGCGCGCTGTTCCAGGCCAAGGCGCGCGCGGCGCGGTCCGACGCCTTCTTCGTGCTGTCTGGCGTGTGGCGGGCCCCCGCGGAGCGCTTCTTCCTCTGGATCGGCGGGTTCCGCCCCTCCGAGCTGCTCAAGGTGCTGGCGCCGCAGCTGGACCCGCTCTTGGAGCTCCAGGCCGCCGAGGTGCGCAAGCTGCAGAACACGGCAAAGCAGCTGGAGGATGCGCTGTCGCAGGGCATGAACAAGTTGCAGCAGACGCTCGTCGAGACCCTCATGACCGTCGACGTCTCGCCGGACGGCGCCGCTGCCGCCGGGTACGCGGCGCAGCAGATGGCCAGCGCCGTGGGCGAGCTCGCCGACCTCGTCGACTTCGTGGACAAGGTGACTGACTAGCCAGTTGCTCCACTGAGCAGCAAAGCGAAACCCGAATCTTTAGAATTGGCACGCTCGATCGGTCTATGGCTTCTTGTTTCTGACCGACCGACATCGACGTTGTTGGCACAGGCGGACCATCTCCGGCAGCAGACGCTGCGGAACATGCACAAGATCCTGACGCCGCGGCAGGCGGCGCGGGGCCTGCTCGCGCTCGCGGACTACGGCCAGCGGCTGCGCGCGCTCAGCTCGCTCTGGGCGGCGCGCCCGCGGGAGCCGGCGTAAGCGTAACGAAACACCCCGCGACGGCGACGGCGATGGAGAAGAGGAAGCGGCATTGCAGTTGCAGGCACGTGCGCACGTGGTTGGCTCTGGCTGCCACCCGGATCGGCCGGCGGAGCAAGGCTGCGGTCAGTGCCTCGGTTTCCTTCCAGCTCTGCGCATCTGGTATTCTGATACGGGAAGCCGGCGTGTTCTGCTCGCTCTCAGGATGAAACCTGAATCTTCTAATGGTTACAGTTACAGTTACAGCAGCAGTGAATTAGGCTTTGGATTTGATTGACAGATCAAAGAATTTACAGGTGTAAATACAGTATACAAAGTTGTTTGGGTAGGAGTAGGACAGGATTGTATTGTTCACAGTTGTTGTTTGTCTCGGTCAAACTGTAAACAGATCATGTGAAAGATGTACAATGAACAATCTATGGAATGCTAGAGTTACACAGCTATTGGCTACTATCCCTAAGGTCCGTTTAGAGGCAGATATTAGACGATTGATATTAAAATAAAATAGGTACGAATGCCATATCAAACTAGTTATTATTAGTATTGAAAATAGGCTACAATACACTATACAGATACCGGGCTTTTATCACCTTCTACGTGCATGGCTGCAATGGTCTCGTTGAGGCAGCGGGTGCAATGGTAGAACCTGTGAGGCGTTCCAAAAACATCGCTTTATTCTCACTGTTATAGATGATATTTATCAATTCAGCACAAAGCTTCTCTATTTCTGCCACCCTACCGCGCAGGTTCACAACCTAATGGTATAGGCCCCGTTTAAATTAACTCCTTAAACCCGACTTATCCGTTTCTTTTTTCATCCGGAACAGTGTTTTCCTCTCTTAAATTCTTCCAGATTCATCAAAAACCATTCAGATTCCTCCAAATTCCTCCAAGCGAACGGGGCCATAAGAGCTGCACTTGTGCAAAATTAACATCTCTAATCCCCACCTAACGCACAGTAGCTAAGGCATAGATAACCATCAGCGATGCAGCTTGCTTAGCCTCAACAATAGTAACCCCATTTGCTTCATGATACCAGAAGCGAGCCTCATCCGCTAGTCCAAGAGCATTTTTAACATCAACAACGGACATACCATCATGGCCAGCACGACCAGTGAAGCTTGGTGGACTGAGTCACAACATTTGCATGAACTCTTCAAGAAAAAGCTTAGCTGGGATCTCAATGTAGCCAACAGCCATCTCTCGAATGAACACACAAATATTCATAACAATTGGATAGAAACATGTCATGGCTCCGTTCGGCTTACCCCATATCCGACTTGTTCAGCTTCTTTTTTCAGCTAGAACAGTGTTTTTCTCTCACAATATTTCAACAAGAACAATGTTTTTCAGCCAATTTCAGCCAAGATTCACCTAGCCGGACACAGCCAATATGGCATCACATCCAAGTCATATGCATCCTAGTGCATCAGTGCAGTGCAGCTATTGTGTGAACGCAACAACACCCAAGCTTAATGTCCCTGCTATTCTAGTCTTGCTAATACTAGTGTATTAGTGTGTAAAATCGTAATGTTTTTTTTTGTGCAAACCGACTCTGATACCACTAAGTGCCACGCCCTAAACTAAACTTTGCCAGTGACAGTGTCGTATTTGTATGAACATTTAAAATCCTCATACACACACAAGACAAAAGGAGGCATCAAGATCCATATAGCAAGCCCATTTTTTTTATTTTTTTTATCGCGATTACAACTTGGTGTCTTGGTGAAGTGAGAATGAGCGCGTTGCTCAGTGGCTAGCGACTCCGGTGTGAGTGCTGTCCGCCCAAGTTCGATCCCTAGGGTGACAACTTGGGTGTCTCACTGGGGCAATGCCCCCAAAAATAAATTTTGTTGCCTCCTCACATGGTGCCACAATGGTCAGAACGACATGCCCGTTGTCTATAGAGCCCTCACTAAAGACACGATCTTTAAGCTCGATCTTCAAGCTGCGCGCAGTTGTAGGTCTTAATATGTGCAGGTCTTAATATGTGCGTAGGGGTGTGATTGTATACGTGTGTGTGGGTTTGCGTGTGTTCGCATGTGTTTAGGTGTTGTTTAGTTCCCAAAATTTTGTAAAATTTTTCAAGATTCCCTGTCACATCGAATCTTTGGACGCATGCATGAAGCATTAAATATAAATAAATAAAAACTAATTACACAGTTTAGGCAAAATTCACGAGACGAATCTTTTAAGCCTAATTAGACTATGATTGACACTAATTGCCAAATAACAGCGAAAGTGCTACAGTAACATTTCACAAAAAAATTCGCCAACTAAACAAGACCTTAGACAGTACAGCTGTATCCAGTTAAGAAACGTCAAAAAAAAAAGAAAAAAGAAAAGAAGAAATCTACATCTTCACACGCCAGCTATCCTCCTGGCTCTTTTTATTTTGGGCAGCAAATCTACTCTCCCTGTTCACTTGCGTAGAGGTCATAGGCTCATAGCTATGGCCACCCTATGCGCCTGCATGTCCTTTTCAATCCGCCTAGCAGGGTCAGCACTACTCACCCTACTTTCTGCGCATGAAAACTGAAAGAGCTAGATTAGTTTACACATACTCAACCACCAGAATAATACAAAGAATAACATATTAGAAACAAAATAAATATAAGGAGAGTTATTAGTCAGTGGTAATAATTTTTACAGTTCTCTGTATATCTCGCCAATAATTATCATATGGAGTTACCGTTCATCTAAGAATTTAGACATTAAAGAAAATTAAGACATTCAAAATTTTTTAAGACATTAAAAAATAATGTAAGGATAATAAATAAAAACAGCCACAGGAGGCCCATGCGGGTGCGTTTTTTTTTGCCGTGTTGCTGCATAAGCATAACGTGCATAAAAAAAAATTCATGATAAAAAAAAACGTGCATTCATTCCCCTTCCGTCCGCTGCATCCCAACTCGTGCGTTCTGTCTGCCTCTCTCGCTCTACGACGACTGGTGCGCCGCGCCGCCGCCGCCGCCCTAAGCCAGGTGCTAAGGCTTGGTCTCTTCGCCGGCGAAGAGCACCCACCAGGTACTTCCACCCCTTCTCTTCCCTTCCCTTCAAGCTGAGCACCGAAACCCTAACCTAAAGCTATTAGCTATTTGACAAACCTCCAAACTTCGACGTTTTTGCAAAAATTATTGGGTGTACATGTGTACACCCATGTCGCTTTACTGGATCCGCCCCTGCCCATGTCCTTTACTGAGTCCGCCTCTGCATGATATGTATTACACTCCCCACTAACTTCGATTTTTTGTTCGCTGGATCTGCTCCAGGCGTAGAGAGAGATGGCGGGTCTAACCGGCCTCACCGCGAATCCTAATCCGAACAAGTCATTCGAGGTGCTCTGCTGTGTGAATTTGATGCAGAACTGTGAAGAGTATATGCCTCTACTGTAGCATCTCGAATCATCTATGTTTTCTTGAAAAAATGCAGATACTGCCGAACCCGGGTGACTCCGTCTCCAGCCTCAGCTTTAGTCCCAAGAGTAATCTGCTTGTGGCAACCTCCTGGGATAACCAGGTAGCTTTCCTTATGCTGTTTAATTTGCAGTTAGCATTTGTTACTGTGATGTATGAATGTATGATGCATGGAACTTGGGTTTGGTTTTTTGTTTTGTTCAGGTGAGGTGTTGGGAGATTGTTGGTGGGAACAGTCAGCCAAAGGCATCCATATCACATGATCAGCCAGTATGATCCCAGTGTTTTCTTTGATCTGTTAATATACTTGGTTGGGTGGTAGATTGACTTCCATGTAGTTATTATCTGGTGTCCTGATTGATTTGTTTCCTCTTTTATTAGGTCCTCTGCTCGGCTTGGAAGGATGATGGAACTACTGTCTTCTCTGGAGGCTGTGACAAGCAGGTCAAAATGTGGCCTCTGCTGTCAGGTGGGCAGCCTCAGACGGTTGCAATGCATGATGCGCCTGTCAAGGAGGTCGCCTGGATTCCTCAGATGAATCTTCTTGTCTCTGGAAGCTGGGATAAGACTTTAAGGTGTGCAAGTCCAGTCTGCTGCTCTCTAACTTGACCTTTTTCACTTGGAAGTTGAATACATATCTCTCATCCATAATCTGTTACCAAAGGCTGGCTATTACTATATCATGTTATCTAAAAGGAATAGTATATTCCCTAAGTTTGTGAATGTCTTGGACAGTTGAGATGATAGTATCAATATTGCCTAAGTCAACTACCACTAAAGATCCGTTCACCCTATACTGTTTTTCTTTCCATTCTAGTCTTTGTGCGCTACAAACCTCCAAATTTTCCTATGACCCGATCACATGTTCTGACAGTTCTGTTACAGCTGCAATGGATTATGCTCCTTGCACATTTGAGAAAGAAATGGATTATGCTCCATGTTAGCATTGCTATATTTACAAGTAATCATTAAGTCAGTAGCTAGTATTAATACGAAGTCTACATAATTTGATTACTTAATAGATAATACTCTTGTCGTCATGCATTTCAGATTGATTTAGGGAACACTATGCCATATTGCAGTTCTAAATGTGTATTTGATTATCATGCATACATCGTGCATTTATGCTCTCTGACTGTGTGTTAATTTTACTTTATCTGTGCGACTGTGCCTGTGCCCTTTTGGACTTCGTATAGTTCTGTTATGCTTTGTCTTCATCCCATTAATTCTCATATACCTTTAATGCAAATCGCTATGCTCTTTATAGGTATTGGGATACAAGACAAGCAAATCCTGTGCATATTCAGCAACTTCCTGAGCGTTGCTATGCTCTTACTGTGAATTATCCCCTTATGATTGTGGGAACTGCTGATCGTCATCTTGTTGTCTTCAATTTGCAGAATCCTCAGGTGATTGTGTTGTTAAACTGGGCTTTGCATGTGTTGATTCATTTTGAGTTGGACATTGATGACTTCTGTTATTCAAATGGCTTATTTCATGCCTTCTGTTTGGATTGTTAGACGGAGTTCAAACGAATCCAATCACCACTAAAATACCAGACACGGTGCCTTGCTGCATTCCCTGATCAGCAAGGGTTTCTGGTAATGCTTTATTATTGGAATGTCCTTTGCTCCCGCATTCATTAAACCTAACTTCTTCTGTATAAGCCTATTTTTAGTGTGCTTCACAAACAAATTATTTATTTCTATTTTGTGGCATATCATTTTGTATTTACAGCAAGTTCTTGATTTCTTCACTCCCAACTTTTTCTACACAACATATTCTTTACTCAAGTCAGTATGGGTGGGGTTGGGATTTTTCACTCAATATTAATTTCACTGTTATGGTCTAATGAGTGCTGTGTTCCTATGCATGCAAAAATTCCAACCGCTAGATCAAGTATAAATATTACTGATGCTGTGGTATTTTGAGTTGCTGGGACGACTTACCGAAGGGGAAGGTCAACCACTGGTGTATGGATTCAATTTTGAGTCTGTCTTGGCCATTAAACTATACCTAAACTTACGTACTGTCCATTCTTGCCTATTGTAGTCTTACCTCTTACGCATCCATAGAATCAGATCAGGATTGAACTTTACTTCTGAAAAACACCAAACTTCTTTTCTAATTTCTAGAACAGATCTAAAGGCACATCTATATGTAGATGGTCTTTCTGCACACATTTACATGTCAGATGTGTTTTTTCTTCAATGAGATGAGATAATTGCATGAAAGCAGTGTTTGAAGAAATGCAATTAAGCGCGAGGCGGAGCCCTGCCACATCACGTAGGCCATAGGTGTTCAATTAAACACGAGCCAGTGGGTAAGTGGCATGGAAGTGAGGAAAATCGGGAGTGGGGCAGGCACGCGCAAGCGTGGGCAAGCGGCAGGAGCGCGTGCAAACTCATGTCATAGCCAGTGAAGTGCTGCACCAGTGCCCCACCACACCATGCAAACCCTCCCTGGTTTGGGTTGTCGTGAGGCTTGGGTCATCTGAGACCGGCAAGATGAGAATTTACGGCTGGCGGTACGGAGTGAGCGTGTGGCGCTGGGAACTGGGAAGAGGAAAGAGGTTTGGGCGTGCGGCGCTGGGAGGGAGACGGGTGTAGATAGCTGGATAGGAGTGGCCGAGTGGATAAGGTGGGTTGTAGGGTTTTTAATGGGTTTTGGGCCACTTACTGTTTTCTGGGCCGAGGGAGATAGTACTGCTGGGCCTATTGTTGCATCAAGGTCCGGCTGATGTTGTAGAAAAAAGAAAAGAAAACAAAAATGTTAATCGCATTTAATGTACGTTCTAGGCAGTGGCCTAGTGCCTAGCACCTTTTACATCCTTGTATGAAAGTGCATATTGCTTACCCTTGTGTGCAGCATGACAACTAGAAGGCATCTTAGGTTGTTAGAACCAATCTGGATATGAAATCATGCTGCAGGCCAAAGAGTAAAGCCCTCTTGTTCTTCAAATTTTCTTTTGGTGGCTGTACGACTCCTAGATATTTACCTGCCTAGCGGTTAATTTGTTTTCCTGGTGCCTGATATTTCCTTTATTGTGTTAGTATCTTGGATTAAATGTTTGGTACCTGACAGTATATTTTGTTTTCTTTAAATACTTTCCATATGACTTTAAGAGCAAATTAGATTTCCATGTGACTGACCCACTGTTCTCATTTAAAGGTGGGTTCAATAGAAGGAAGAGTTGGTGTTCATCATATCGATGATGCACAGCAAAGCAAAAACTTCACATTCAAATGTCACAGGGAAGGAAATGATATATTCTCTGTCAATTCACTCAACTTCCACCCTGTAAGATTTCTCTCTCCAGTCTTCACGCATTGTTAATAATGTGGGGCTTATGTTTTTTTTATAACTTAGCACATGTTGCTATGAAGCATACTGATGCAGTAGAGACTTGTGGGGTTTTAGTACCTTGGCTTCATTCTCAATTAATTTGTTGAATACCGTAAGCCCAAGTTCTTGTCGTCCACAAAATATTTTGAACTAAAATCAATGTTATACTGCAGATTAAGCTATCTACAACTATACACTGCAATCATAGGTATATGAATGACACAAAAGTACTCATTATTGTCCGTTCAGATTAACACAGACTACCAAAACAATTTCAACAGATTATCAGTTTAGTTGAGCAATTTTTATCACATCATATCAGTTGCATCTAGCTCTAAGAATAGTGTTGATTATTTGGTGATGCTCTTTTTCGCTAAGTTCACTGGATTTGTATGGCTAGTTAATGATGCTGTGTACCTGTTTGAGTTGGTTGTGCTTGTAGGCTGTGTTTCATTGAAACAAGCAGTGCCCACATATGAGAGTTTCCATGTTTGGGAATAGCAGTTGGTTCTAAGCTTGGCATCCTAGTTGTTGATGTTGAAATTAGGAATTTCATTTAATTTTTATGTTCCATAACTTGCTGCAGGTCCATCACACATTTGCAACTGCTGGATCTGACGGTGCTTTCAACTTCTGGGATAAGGATAGCAAGCAGAGGCTAAAGGTAGACCAATTTCCATGGCTCTTTCTGTTGATTTTCACTTGTGTTGGTAGCAGTTGATTTCTGTTGCATTGATTTTTCTTGATTTCGTGATGGTTTGCTGCTTGTCTTTGTGGCGTATTTGTACCTTAGTAACTGGGGTTGTTGGTTGATCCTGTGATCCACCTCAGATCACACATCTTTGCAAGGTCATATGATATTAGTTTGCAGCTGGGATGCCACCCCCGGATGGCTCATGATCAATGGGATGAGGGATGACAGAAAAGAAATGGGGTAGTGACAAGGGAAAACATGGGGAACGGAAACTATCCTCAACTTCTACTTTTTTATTGTCTCCATCGATGCTGCTGTCTTGCTTGAGTAATCCACAATGGTTGTCGCCTGTTGGGGGAGAAGTGAGATGAGATGAAATGAAATGGGATGGAGAGAGGGGGATAATGAAGGGGCTAAGTTTGAGGTAGGGCCATTATCATGGTCATGAATCTTGAGTGAGTTGTCAAGGGATTGGGGGAGAGGAGAGGTGGAAAACTGGAATTCGTCTTTCCCCTTTTCTTCTTTTTCTCATTTCTTCCAATATATACTTTTATTACATGAACGTCTTTAGTGAACTTTAAGAATAAATATTTGTAGTTGATCCATGGACCTGGATTGCCCAACCCTGATTCTTCAGTCATCCAGTGTCCTGAATTAGCATCTTAAATAACAGTATCCTTCTTTGGCCTGTGTTTTAAGCCACCCACAACCTTAATCCCAGGACCTTGTTTGTTGACTCACTTTTGATTTCCTGGTGACTTTGGTTAGTACCTTTTACTGTCCTACCATATTTTCTGTTTATACAGTGGAAAATTGAAACACATGGTCAGCTTGTGAGCATGATGTTGCAATCCTGAGCAAGAAAATATTTTGGCAGCACTGTGGGGTCCCCCCCCACTTTTTTGTCTGAGCTTGTTTTGACAGGCTGTTTTTTAAGTAGGTTTCATAGGCAATTTTATTTTTCTTTATCTTGGTATAAAAGCATGTTACATTCTCATTTAATTGTATGAATCCTTTGATTACTGGTCTGCCTATTTTGCTGGGTGCACTGTAACTGCTTGTTTTTATTCCGAATTTCTTATACATTACCTTTTGTAGAGGACATAATTCATTTTATTTCCATACTATTTCTGTACAGGCTTTTAGTAGATGCCCCCTTCCCATTCCTTGCAGTACCTTCAACAGTGATGGTTCCATATTTGCTTATGCGGTAAGTCTACTGGGCAACCTTGATGGCTGAATGCCTTGTATCTGTAAGAACAATTGTTTTTCCACATCCGAAACCATGTTTTTGGATCAGTTGAGCTTTTAAAAATACCTACCTTTGATTGAGACAACTTTACACACATTAAATATGCACAAATCAATTCACTCTGTTTCAGTCCTAATTGACCAACTGCTCTAGTTGAATTGCTATTTTAAAATGTGGTTCTGGTCATAGCTTCAATTTGCTTTCCAAGTAGAGTGTAGCATGGTAAAAAAAAAGAGCAAGTATGAAAAGTTACACAAATTTGTGTCAAAGTACAGATCATGTAGCAATTGATTTGGCAAGTTGTATTCCAAGGAGCGTGTAGCATGGACAAAATATTAAAATATAGGCGATTAGACATTTAGACCGGCTATATTGTATGGAGCAGAATGTTGGCCTACAAAGATTCGACATGTTCAACAACTGAGTGTTGCAGAAATGCGTATGTTGCGATGGATTTGTGGTTACACAAGAATGGACCGAGTTCGGAACGATGATATACGTGATCGCCTAGGGGTAGCATTAATTGAAGAAAAGCTTGTCCAACATCGATTGAGGTGGTTTGGCCATGTCCAAAGAAGACCTCCAGAGGCACCAGTGCATTGTGGAGTCCTAAGCCAAGCTAATAATATGAGGAGAGGTAGAGGAAGACCGAAATGGACATGGGGGGAGGCAATAAAAAAAGATTTGAAAGCTTGGGATATACCTAGGGATCTATGTTTGAATAGGAGTACTTGGAAAGCAGCTATTGAAGTGCCTGAATTGTGACTTGGGGCTCTTGGTGGGTTTTAACTCTAGCCTACCCCAACTTGCTTGGACTGAAAGGCTATGTTGTTGTTGTTGTTGTTGTTGTTGAACTAGGAAAAGTTACACAAATTTCGTATCAAAGTACAGATCATGTAGCAGTTAATATGTCAAGTTGTATTCCAAGTAGAGTGTATCATAGTCAATGCAGAAAATTAGTAAGTATTACTCCCTCCATTCCAAATTTAAGTCATTCTGGCTTTTCTAGATACATAGCTTTTATGGTGTATTAGACATAGTGTATATCTAGATGCATAGCAAAAGCTATATACCTAGAAAAACCAGAATAACTTACAATTTGGAACGGAGGGAATATTACACAAATTTTGTGTCGAAGGTACAGATCATTTGGCAATTGATTTGGCAAGTGGCCCTTATTGCAGGAGTGCAGAACTACCATGTTCCAAAAGATACTAGAGCGTTAAATGCATATATTTATTGTCTTGTACTCTCTCTATTTCAAATTATAAGACGTTTTGGCTTTTCTAGATTCATAGTTTTTGCTATGCACTTATGGGGGCTCCTTGGAACAGATTCTCCATGAGAATCGCTCCTCCCTAGCCAAACAGCTAAATCTCACATAGATTCAGGTGGGGAGCAGGCAAGAATCACTTCTCCATTTACACCGGGAGGCGGGAGCTAAAAAAAACCCTGCTCCCCACTGCTCCCTGTTCAAAACCCACAATAATCACTCTAGAATCAATTGTGCTCCCTGTTCAAAACCCACAAGAATCACTCTAGAATCAATTCTGCTTCCTGTCAATACCCACAAGAATCACACTAGAATCAATTCTCACCTGCTCCCCTACCATAGTCAAGTAGAATCACGCCACTAGATAATCAAGGAGCAGAGCCAGAGAATCTAGGAGTGGAGCTCTGCCAAACAGACACTTAGATATACACTATGTCTAGATCTATAGTAAAAGCAATGTATCAAGAAAAGCCAAAATGTCTTATAATTTGGAACAGAGGGAGTCTTGTATCGTATATAAATGTCCTTTAGTTTTGGAGCAAGTTTTCCCCTTCTACAAAACTCCATTTTACATTGGACCCATAAATGTTTGAATGTTGCTAACTTTGCATTTTGTTAAACTTTTTACTCTTTTGAATTTTGTCATTACTAGTTTGGGCCCTTGTTATGTTTGAACAAATTTTATCGTTTTATTCTACTTGTGTCCATGGAACGAAGTGCTGTTAGCCCCTCAACATATTTTAGGAATTTAGAGAAGCTTTGGCCACAGACAAACTAGGATATTAGCATAAATGTGCTATTCTTTATTTGTTATTAGCGCTGTAACAAATTTTTTGAATTTTGATGACTGCCCACCCTAGCATTTACGAATCCTTTTATCCATGTTTAACCATCACCACTGTAAAATAGGTCTGCTATGACTGGAGCCGTGGGGCTGAAAATCACAACCCTGCAGCTGCAAAGACATCCATCTATCTCCACAGTCCACAGGTGAGCTCTGTTTGCTGCATTCATTATTTTGTGAGATTCATCCTGCAATCTTTATTGTATTATTTCTGCCACTGAACCTCCTCTTAATAGGAAACCGAGGTAAAAGGAAAGCCACGCCTTACGACAGGCAGGAAGTGATTACATTGCAGATGTTACTAAATGGCTGATGTCATTCACCAGTTTTGTTATGCCCCCCCTCCTGTATTGGAAGTCTGGTAGATTGTAAATTTCAGCTTACTTGTAGGACCAATTCTAGGGTTTCTGTTGGAAGTCTTAACATCCTGTAGTACCTGGTGTTTGTGGTGTCTTCCAAATAGATTGTCTGTGGAGGTTCTGTGATCATCTCCTTTATTTTGGCTGTAAAATCAGTGTACCAAAGAATGTTGTGATGTAAATTTTCGTGCATATGGACCGATACTAATGGAGTTGTAGTTCACAGCCCGTTCTGGGTTAGGATGGGCTTGGAGCAATCCATGGATACCCACCGAGCCAATGTAGTTCAATTTAATTAGGTAGCGTTTCAGTTTGAGTGATGAAAAATTTGCCATTTTAGGGCCTGTTTGAGACTGTTTTTGCTCTTTTTTTTTTTTAACTCCGCTCCATGTTTTTAAGCCAAAGCAGCTCTACAAACTCTGTTCTAGGAAACTCTAGAAACTTCAAATTGAGTTGATTTCCTTGTTCCAACGAGAGCTGAAGAGTAGTTTGCACTCGTGACCAGATGGCCGTGGGGGATTTGCGGTGTAACCTACAAATCCATACAAATATCTGGTGTAGCCACTGGAGGTACGTGATTCGGAAGTCTTGCGGCATCGAAATTCTATTAGTATGTTTCCAGTGGTGTAAATTTTGCTAATGTGGTCCTTTTTTCTTTTTACCTCATGACATGCCAAAAAATAGTAGCGATCGTGGTTTATTAAACTTTATTTTGAAGATCTCCATTGGTGTTTTTGACAACTTGCCTCCACTCTGCTCATCAGGAGGTCAGACTGTAAAGCAGATCAAATGCAGAATTCGCTTTTGGACTTGAAACCTCTGTACGCACTCTGTTTCATAGCTAGTCTCGTTTTGAACTAGGTGAATTCAACTGATGAAAAATTGTGCCTGGGACACATACAAAAGTTTCAAATGTGTTGGCTCCTAGAGCCAAAGGTGAACGAATGTTTGCCATGCCATGGCTTTACTGGAATCTAAAGAATCGTGCAATCAGCACAAACCTCACCAAAGCTAAATCTGCAACCCCAGCATAATGCAGAAACATGAAGGCAAGCTCTGTTTTTGTTGAACATTGAGGCAGCCACCTTCATCAGCCGAATGCCCTAAATAGAACAAGCGAATCCATCAATCTTTTCAGACTGAACACATTTTAGGTTCTCCTCCTCATTGAACGTAGCTGAATGCTACACACACTGTTCATATGCTGCCCTGCTTCCTTTTCATCGGCCTCTTCCTCTTCATCAGTCCGATACTCTTCAAAGTCGTCTTCGTCGTCATATGTCTGCTCCTCGTCCTTCTTATCTGTCTGCTTCTCTTCCTTTTCTTCATCTGCCTCGTCCTGTTCGGAAGAAAAATGGAGATGAGGAGTTTAATGGAGAAAATGGGGTGACAAGGATATTCTACATTTCTAGCGTCCTCAGCTTGGTTAGTTTACTGAATTCCTCTTGCAACCACTTAGTCATAGGATTGACCTCCGTACTCCGTCAGTGTGCTCTTCAAGGCAGTAGCTTAACGCCTGCTCTCTATCAACCGAGTAACATGACAGACACCTCCGTAATTGTAGCAGCTCAACGCCTGCTCTCTTTCAATCAACTAACATGACAGACACCTCCATGTTTCTCTTCTCTTACACGGCCAACCAAGACGTTGTTGCTTGATCCATATTTTCTTTATTCTTGCATCCTCCTAAGCTAAACTGACAATAGCAAGCTATCTCCATGCTGAGCTGCTCTATTCTTCACATAATTCTCGGTGGCAAGGAGGGTGGGGCCAGTGGGGCCCTAACGTTTGGCTCTACCACTAGCAGTAAGAAGAAATTCCAATTCAAATTGTAAATTAAATTCAGCACGGAGCAGACACAACTTGCCAGCACCCAAAAGGCCACAAATGTCACATTTTGCTCCCTCTGCGCTCATCTTAGACTAGAAGCCTTATGTATGGCCTGCCCCTCCGTGCGCTTTCTGCTTGCTCAGCTTCAAACACAACAAGAATAGAGGAACCGAATAGACTGTGTAATTGAACACTCAACGCCTTTAATTCTGTCAGGAATCTTTTTAAAAGCAGATCAAAAGTGCCTTCTGAGTTCTGACAACAATGCAAATCAAAATGTAAAATTAAATTTTGGATTTAAAGCCTCTGAACTTTGGTTTATTGTATGATAAATTTCATTTTGGATGAGATAAATTCAATTGACAAAAAAAAGTGTGCCTGATACAAACAAAAGCTTAATTTGTGTTCACAAAAAAAAAGCTTAATATGTGTCCAGTACAGGCAAATGTGAATGTGCCAAGCCTTTATTGAAAGCTAATTATAATCTTACAACTAGTAGAAACCACACCAAATCTAGTCTGCAATCCAGCGCAACAACACAGAAAACATAAAGTGCCACAGCTCTTCTTTTATTCAACCTCGAGGTAGACATCAGACACGTTTTATCAGTCAAATGCCCAAGACCAAAGTAGCTAACCCATCAACCTCATGCAGACTGATATCTCATTCTAATTGTTGCCACCACTCTCCTCTTGTTGTGCCACTTCGTTTTCACCGGTCTCTTCCTCCTTGTCAGTCTGCTCCTCTTCTTCATTTTTATCTGTCTCATCCTGTTTGGAAAAATAAGATGAAGGGTTTGGTGGGGAACTTGGGGGTCACATCACATGAATGTAGAACTAACTGGTACGCTAGTGAGCCTTTGATACCTCTAGTTCAGTCTCTCCATCAGTAGCTTGGTTTGCCTGTTCTCTAATTTGCCAAACGGCCTGTTCGCTGGTTGGTTTCTGGACTGGTTTGGGCTGGCTGGTGCTGGTTTATTGTGAGAGAAAAACACTGTTGGCTAGCTGGTTTGGGCTGGATGAAACCAACAAGCGAACAGGCTGAAAGTTTGAGCCACTCGTTGAGTAACCCGTCAATATCTTGATTCCACTCCCTCAAAAACTAAAAGAGAAAAAACAAGTTGTTCAATTGAACGGCCAAGTATATGCTAAATGGGAGAAATAACTATGCATTGGCTGCAGCTAGAAGAAGAGAAGTGGAAACGGAAATATAAATAAGAGAGTCCAAAATGAACTATTTAATTGAACAGCCAAGTACGAGTACTTTAGTTGCTAAATGGAAGAAAGGACTACTACGTGGTAGCAGCAACTGAGAGGTTGATGGAACCATCAATGCATGGTGTTCTGTCAGGGAACTTACGGACTCGAAATGTTTGCAGTTGGCATGTCCTGTTTCGAACCTGAGAGTGGGACGGTTGGGAAGTGTCTCGATGGCAGCAGTAATGGCTCTTGAAATACATCGGACAGTGTCATCATGATCATCGTCTGCTGGATTGTAGATTCCATCATACACACGCCTGTTGCTACGAATTTCGATCTCAACCTTGTTGAGAGATGAGAGGTGCTGGATGCCCAAACTAGAAGCACCATTCAAACACTCCATCTCATGTGCACGAAACTCAAGCTTCACGTGCTCAAGCTTTGACATTGAACCCGCTCCAAACTCTAGAGAGGTCCCACACAAACTGATACACAGGGAGAAATATTTCAGACTTCTGAATCTGTTGTTTCCAGGGAAGACGATCCTTCCGCTAGTGCCTCCGGCAGTTACTAGGTTGAGAAAAAGCAAACTGGGTATTTCTCCAAGGATCTCAACATCTTCTGGTCTCACACAGATGATCGTCAGTTCTAGCACACTGAGATTTCCAAGTGAGCCCATCCAATTTGGCACCCTATAGATGAGATGTCTTCTAAAGCAGAGCTTGCGGATGCTACAGGAATAACTGTGAATGCGCTCGGCTTGGCTTCTTCCTTCTGAGCCATCTGGTAACTCAAAACTCCATTTAATTTTTAGTGTCCTCAGCTTGGTGAGTTTGCTGAATTGTTGTAGGGACTGCCCTTGCTCATAGGATACAACTCCATACTGCCTCAGCTCTTCCAAGCTAAGCATCTTCCCAATAATTCCGTCTGGAAACCTAGCATCCCAATCAACATATAAACGTGCCAGCTGTTGAAGTTTTGAGATAGTTCGTGGTAGTTCTTTGATAATGGTGCCTCGCACATCCAGTGTCTGTAGATGTTGTAGCTCACCAACATTGTCTGGTAGCTTTGTTATTGAACCTGAGCGGAGACGCAAGAAATTTAGATTAAATAAGTTTCTGATACTTGCAAGATTATGGTCTTGCATGCCGCTGCAATCTATTAGGTCCAACACACGAAGAGCAGTGCAAGGCAACAAATAGATTTTCATAGCCTGTCCAAATATTATAGTAACTGACCGAACCTGAGACAACATCTCATCTACTGGCTCGGGGCGCAGTGCGCGCTAATCCCTACTCCAGTGGTGCGGCTGCTCTTGTATTCGTACGCTCAATTACAGAGACTGTTGCTCCTAGCTACGAGATAGATGGAATAGGTGGAAGATGGATCCTGTGCCCGAGGTCCCTACCCTCCTTTATATAGGCAGGAGAGGTAGGGTTATAGAGAGGACGATCGGGCTAACATATTGTGTTCCGAGTTTGTTACACGATATGCGCAACAGATTGATCATAGCTATCGTCCAGATACACACGCTTTGATTTGCCTTGATCTCCTAGTTAGTCGATCGCGTCAGCCCTTGTGGGCCTCCTCCTTGATGGCTGCTGGGCGATAGTTTGGTGGTGGTCATATATACTGACGGTGTAGGTACCCCTGGCCCATATCTCTGATAGAATTGCCTCCACTAAATTTTAGTTTCACACTAGCTAGATAATCTGAAATCAAAGTTATTTGTTTCCTTTGAAGTATGCTATTTTTCATAGCTTGTGGTATTACTCTCTAAATTATGATTTCTGAGGTATTTATGAAGTATGTGAAATGCATACATTGCTACATTTGCATTTGCACTCTTTTCGTTGATATGCATTAGAAGAAACCGTAGCTGAATTGGTGCGGTAATTACTGGTACAACAACACACATTGATAAGCATTGTGGTTGCAGCCCTCACTCCCTCTCCTTGGGACGTGTGGGTAGAAGTGAAGTCATGCATTACATTGCATCATTCATTTATCCATTATTATGTCATTTAAATTTGATGTCTAATCAAACAGTGATTTAAATAGATTGGTTAAAGCAGTTTGCTTGCTGAGGTTTTCCATAAACATCATACGCTTGTTTTCCCCATCTCAGGTACATGAGCTTCAAGGATGCTTGGCGGGATGGGAGTAGCTGCACGAGTGCACATTTGTTGGCATATAATTCAAAGAAACAATTTTGTTACCTCAAATTAGTTGGTTATCGGAGTTTGTTGTGCATTGTAGTAAACACCTTAGGTTTGCTAGTTATTTGGAAGATGCCTTTGTTTATGTCACCGTAGAAGATTTAATTTAATGTTCAACTTAGATGACGTTTGTTGCTTCCCTGTTCTCTGATGATGTGTTCTTGTTAGATTGTAGTGTGGTAATACTCCAGAAGGAAACTTATGTTGTTGTGTTTCTTCTGGGGTGTTATAGTTGGTAATCAGAGCCTAGGTTATAGGTTCTAGGCTTAAGTTGTTATGCTAAAATTTTGATTCACTTTAAAACTTGACACACTTGCACTTATAGGATGGGAGTTGGGTTTTTCTTAAATGCTATGTTTACTCGCTTGTTTCACTTGTACATATATGTGATTATGCTTATCTGTGGTATGATCATTTTGTGGCTATGTTCCAAGTTGTTGTAGCTTTCTTTTGATTAGTAGAAGAGGTTTTTGTTGTAGTTTTGGTCTGTAGGACCCAAGAATAAGTTTTGAATCCTAGAGTATTCTCTAGCTTTGTAGATAGGTTGAGTGGAGGGCCCCCACAACACCTCTCTGCTTTGCTAGGTGAGGTTGGCTGAGTGTTAGGTTGACCCAACTATTTATATTCAAATGAAATGGTTGAATGACGGATGGATTGGCCACCATGCCGTACATTGCAACTATTTGCTCTTGATATATCAAATGGGTGGGTCATTGAGTGCCTTATCCTATAGATTGGAGTGGCGACGTTTCATCCTAACATTAGTCCGGTGTAGTTTGTTTTTCCACATAATTCGAGGTCCATCTTAGTGGCGGTCATCAAGATGAAGTGAGATTGGACTCAGGTGGAGTTTTGTGAGGTTCCCAGTGTTTAAGCCTAGTGTTGTGCTTAGTGTTAGTTTGTATGCTAAGAATGTAACTTGAAATTAAAGAGGCTTTGTAGTCGTGTGTGGCTAGTCTATGTGTTGTAGTGGCCTTAAAGGCTTTGATGTGGATCTCAATGGCTTTGAATTAGCCTAGCCTAGTGGTCTAGATGAGGTAGCAGGAGTGTATCAAATCTTTTTCTGATCACACAAGTTGAATGCCATATTCTATAATATGGTGCAAGTGACCAATTTGTGAGGGTCATGGATTATAGTTGTTCTAGGTGGTGCCTATAAGGACAAGTCCGTTTTGGAGGTTGTTTCATGGTGGTTTTGTCACATTGTTTTGGTGAACCTGTCATGAATGACATAATGTTGCTTTCTTCAGAAATATGATGTTACGATGCATAACCCTTACTTGTTGGTGTGGCATGGACTTCCTTGAAGGTAATAACGATGGAACTAATAAGATGTGATGAAGTGCATGTTCAAGTCTATAAAGATAGTGGTTGTTGACCTAGTGGTTCTTGTCCCTTGAATGATGCTCAAATCAAAGGAAGGTCTAAGAATTCTAGCTTTGATGTTGGAGGGATTGTTATGGCATCACTTCAGTGGTTCTTCATGAGATTTAAGGCCCTTTTCTTTTCTATCCCATTTGTTCTCACGAATCGAGTGGATCTAATTAAGTGAAGCTAGATCTTATGTTGAAGTTTTAGGTTGTAGTGGAGGTATAATTAGTTGTTCTAGGATCTTTGATGAGGAGAAGATTAAATCAATGTTTCATAGTAATTAGGTTGTTTTTATCAAAGTTTTGATATGAGACCGACTACACCGGCTAAGCTCGAAGTTTTGATATGAGACCGACTACACCGGCTAAGCTCGAAGTTTTGATATGAGACCGTGTCTTTGCATTATTGCTACACTATAGAAGTTGTTTCCATGATGATATGAGCTCATGTGGTTAGATCCTGCAAGTGAGGAAACAATATTGTTAACTAGTGTCATTGTTGATGGTAGTTAATGTCAATCATAAACCGTCAATGTGCCCTGCATAAATGATTAAAATGGATCATCAACATAGGTATAATGTTTTAAACTAATGAGTTCCACGAGTTTTGGTGATTTCATGATTGCAGGAGGATTTAATCAGAAAACTATCAAGGAGGACCTATTCGTCAAAGAAGATCACATTTATCCACAATGAAACCGACGTGGAAAGACTCTAGAACACTCTAGAAGGCAAACCACCGTGACTCAGCCTGAGAGGCTGACATGTGGGGCCGTCCAGCCCCACCTGCAGGCCACCCAGCCTGTGGGCCCCACATGTTAGTCCCTCCTTCGAATGTCGCTTTTCCATCTCCTCAAAGATCAAATCTACGTCGTTGCTCAAGGTCGGTTTGATCCGAAGGTCCAGATTTGACGTTGCCCCCTATATACGTCCCTATACCTCCTCAGCAGAGCATCCTGATATCCTGGAAACCAGACCCAAATTTCATATCCTCCTCATCAGGATCAGAGCCAGCAATCAAGAGTAGATTAGTCCTCCAAGTTAGGATCTAGTCTTTGTAATTAGAAATAGAGAGATAGAGAGTGAGGGAAGAGTTTGGAGGAAGTGCCAGCCTGTCAGATTGTACCCTAGCGGATTCAAGTTCTTAAGCTTGTTTCTAAGATTTCTTTGGGAATCAACTTCTGATTCAAGTAAGTAACGTGTTTATATTGTTCATCAGGTTTGCGACTCTTTTAAGTACTTTAATCCTTGTCGCTCTTGGGTTAGAGTAGTATTCGTAGTGTAAGCGTGATGCTTAGACTCAGTTACTCATGGATATACCCTACATTCCGAATTTGTGGTAGACTGCAAGGGTGACTATAAAGTCTTGTTGAGTCAATTGTAGACCACCTCCCGTTTGTAGGCCGAGCAGGACCTGGTTACTAGGAAAGCATACTCTGATTGTGTTTCTCCTTAGTAATATCCCCATTTAAATAGTAGAAGACATAGTTTATCAAAGTTAGAACTAGAAAACCCTAGTGATCCTCTCTACGCTCTTGTTTATCTTAAGCCTTGTTGCTACTCCGGGTTCAGATAGACTTAGTTAAATTCATACATGTTTCCTTGAGTTCGATATTCTAGAATACTTTCCAGTGAAGTGCTACATCGGTATCCGTGCGCTTGCGGTTTTATCTGTGTGCATTTAAAATATACCAACAGTCATCCCAATAGATCCATATGTCATTTCCTTAGTAAGTTCTATTTTGCTAGTTGTGAAGGTGATCTAATATTTTGCAATTTTCTTCATGAAGTAAAAAGATGAGTTTTGGAGAAGAGTTACTTCAAGCCTAGTTCTAGTTTTAAGTAGTATGCTTTGAGGCATGTTGGCAAGCATCTATGGTTATTATTATGCAATTTTGTCACACAGTAAAGTTTAACCCTTTGGCTGAGGTTTGAAGGTGGTCCGTTCTTCTAGAATGAGTTGTTATAGTAAGAGAGAATACATATTTGACAAGTTAAAGAAGTGTGCTTTCTGACTTCCTGAAGTCGCTTTCCTTTCTTGGCCATCTTATTAACAGTATGGAATACTATTGATCCCAAAAATGTTCTGTGGTGGAGTGGGAGAGACCGACTACTGTCATGGATAGGCTGGCAATTGTTGCGTGGGTACTTTTTTTAGTTTTTTGGACTTGCTGGATACTATCGTCTCTTTGTTTATAATTTCTCTACTATTGCAAAGCTAATGACAAAGTTAACTATGAAGGGTTCTCCTTTGGTTTGGACTACTGAGTGTGAGGTGAGCATTCAAACTCTGAAGGGGAAATTGGTGAATGGTCCTATTTTGGTTTTGCCCATGTGTGGCAAGCGTTTTGCAGTATAGACAGTTGTCTCTAGTATTGGGCTTGGTTGTTTACTCATGCCGGAAGGTAGGGTGATTGCTTATGCTTCTAGACAGTTGAGGTGGTATGAGATGAATTATGCTACACATGATTTGGAATTAGCAGCAGTGGGATTTGCACTGAACATTTAGAGGCATTATCTTTAGGGTGAGTCTTGTGATATCTTTAAAGACTATCAAAGTCGCAAGTATATATTTACTCAGAAGGAGCTAAACTTGAGGTAGAGGAGGTGGCTAGAGTTTATTAAGGATTATAATTTGACTATTCAGTATCATCCTAGAAAGACAAATGTT